GTCCGATCGCAGGCCTCCGCTCCTTGAGTTCTCTCCAGCACTGGAAAGCTGATCCAATATTTTACACGGGTCCTACTTCTTGCCTTGTCGTTCCGCAGACGTTTTCCTCTTTTGTTTTTTATCCGCCATCTCTATATCTCTCTGTCGCTCGGCTCGCTAATGTCCGTACCATGCACTGAAAGCTCTCTCCTCCACATCATGAGTAGACACGCCCCATATTGCTGAGTGGCTACAAGTTTGTTTTGCTATTCGGCCCGAATCAGTTTTCTAAAGTGTTTTTGAAAAATCACATACCCTGCCTTTAACTACAGCATGTAATGACAAAAAAACAAGAATTTCCTCTACAGGACTGCTACTGTCGGTTATGATATGTTGTGTCTGTTGTGATATGTCGTGGCTGGTGACTATTTTTCTTCGTGGTAGAGGCGTGTAACTAATCAAAATCATTTTGTTTGGATTTTCACGTAAGCATTCTGTTGTTTTTGTGCTGTGAGAATACTGACCTTTAACTAGACTTAACTCAATTAATGCTCAACTAATACTTGGAACCCATGTAAAATATATAGCAGTGGTGCAATGCGTGTATCCCATTGGGTTACAACACGCATACGTGTCCCTATTCAAGATTCAAGCCCCAGAGAGGAAAGTTCCCTTCCCCAGAGCACACCCTACAGGCCAGTGACATACATCTCCATGCCATCATTAAAAGTAAAGATGGTGGTTGTGCTGGAGGTGGCCGAGCCCTGCTTCAGGTCAGGGATGCTCTCGTACAAGCTCTCCCCGGGAATCAGCATTGTTTTGGCTGGGAGATGCAGCAATTTGGGGGTCTGCTGGGGGGGTGGAGGGGGTGGCGGTGGTTGTTGCAAGGGTTGCTGGGGCCGCTTCCGCTTGGGCCGCAAGGTGGCACTGGCATTGGGTGGAGGCCTGTCGCGCCTCCAGCCTCCCCCACCCTCCATGGTCTCGTAAGCCAGGTCTGTTTCCTCAGTGCTGATGGCTTCGTAGCAGTGGTCCTCCATGCAGCTGGGTGGAGCTCTTGTACCTTTGCCCTCCTGCGGGGCCCATGTTTGGGGTTTGACTACCACGCTGAAACCCCCGTCACGCTCACTACGGTCACCTCGAGCCAAGGTCCTATAGCCGCTGATGTCCCTCGTGGCGGTGGGCGAGCCAGGCATGCCTCGCTTCTTTTTGCCTGGTTTGCAAACTTTCGAATACATCTCTGTGATCTACATGATAATAGAGAGACAAACCATCTGAAACATATTCGTGAGTGGAAAATCTTTTACTCCAAAAGTTTGTTTTTCCAGTTCCCGCTGTCTGATAGGCAACAAAAACAATCCAGCCTTTTAAGAATACACATTTTTGGGTTTACAGCTGTTTCTGGCTAACCCTGAATTTGTGTTTAGGGGTAAGGAAGTACTCTGGGATCATTCACAGACAATGTTTCAAGAATGTATAATGCCTACAAGACATTGTGACTGCATAGAATGAGAAAAGGAGGATGTGTCTCAGGACTGTGGAAAACTAAATGCACACTCACCCCTGCTGCAGATGCTGCCATATTCTCTCCAGCATGAGAGCTCAGAATACCCATCTGCTTGTGCTGGAAGATGATGTCATCGTCCTCCGGAGGTTTCCATATGTACTGTTCTCCATTTCCCATAAACACTGCCTCCTGATTTATTAAAAACAATTGACTAGAATAAATATTATATAACATTTTAAGGGGTCTTCTTAAACAATATACACTGGAGAATAGAGCCGAGTAGAACAGCATCATGAAACAGCATCAACAATGCCCTCCAAGGACAGTTCATGGGTTTAAAGCAGTAGTTTTAAAGGAATGGTTTACCCATACAATTAATTCTGTCATCATTTACTCACCCTCGTGTTGTTTCAAATCAGTATGACTTTATTTCTTCTGTGGAAGACTAAAGGAGCTTTCAAAATGGGAGCTTCAAAAGGTGCAAAAGCAGCATGAAAATACCATAAAATTGTCCATACAACCTGTGTGCAATATTAAGTCTTCTTAATGTCTTTGTGTGAGAAACAGATTGAATTTTAAGTCATTAGTCACTCATAATAGTCATCTCCTGTGAGCTAAGCTCAAGAAGTGGATGAGTCCAATTTGTGAACAAAGCATTCAGGTTTTGTGGTTTTCTGAACCAAATCAAGAGATTCACTCATTTACTTCCATTATATTGCAAAAGAGTTGCCAAAATTTTACCTTTGATGATAGATTGACAGAATGTTAGATAGAATAACAGAACATTAGATCAGACTCTTCTCCATGAAAATAAGCCTATGTAGAATAATCAGGCTACGGTCCCCATCTTAATGCCTGCCCTCATGTCTAACCATCTTCTGCATCTAATGATATTGGGCTTAATGTGTTTCCTGTACTCGGGCTGTAAGGGAACAGGCTGATGCTTGCAGTGCATTTTCTCCTCATTGTTATGCAGGAGAAACGGAAGGTGGGCAATGGGGTGTGTCACATTGCCATTTTTAAGGCAGGGATTAGCATGTTGTCGTAGGTTCTTTCGTTCACCATTGCAATTTCCTTTTCCCATTAGCACTGGCCCATTTTCTGGGTCTGGCTGTTTGCCTGGATTTCGGTGATTGAGAGGTTTCACTCTGTGTTTCCGCTGGTTGCATCATCCTCATAGTAAAGTGCCTGTGAGTGTGCAACACCCCGAATGCTGTGGACGGACCACTAAATGCTCACAAGTATCATTGATTTGGACAGTGTTCGCAGAGAAAATAATGAAGTACACTTGCAGTGTACTTAATTGCAGACCCACTTTAGTTGCAAGTCCACACTTGCGCTGAGGCACACAAAAATAGGGGAAGCCATTCCCAGCATGCTTCTATTTATATGTTCCACTTTAAGATACAATTTAAAGCACAATCGGAAATTACAACGAGTCAAAGGCTTTCAGTAGTTATGAAACAACAAATAGTTTCCATCAGCAACAATGCTCTCATTTTTATATTTGTAGCCTCAGCTAAATCCTTGTGGTTGCAGTGCTATATGAATTACTGAATTACATGAGCGCTGAATATGTTTGTAGAAGTGCGCTATTCAGAATGGAATTGAAAATTCACTTTAAATTACAGTTCAGTTCCTGAATTTGAATTAAAGTTGAGGTAGCAAACAGGATACAAAATTGTATTCCAATTTGAATTTGAATCCAAGGAAGTCAAATTAAAATGAATTAAAACTGAAAGAAATTTATATTATTGTAATTTTTAACTAGAAAATAAATGTTTGAAACAATAAACTTTGAATGTTTAAATCTTATTTGAAGGTTTTGAAAAAATGAATCTTGTTTGAAGGTTTTGAAAAAACATTTATTAAGCTTTAGATAGATAGATAGATTGATTGATTGATTGAATAATACCTTAGGGAAAGACGGAAGATTGAAGGCCTCCATGTTTTTCCGAGGAATCTTCTGACTGTGTGGGTGCGTTGGAGGTGGGGCTGGGTGAGTGGGCGGAGCATGCCGAATGTCCCCACTGCTGTGTCGTTGTTGTTGTCCAAGCCCCTCCTCGGTCTCCGTCCCATTGTCCCTCTTCTGTGCTGCTTTGTCCACTCTCCGGACCTTTCTGATGCAGGCGTACTCCACTGTTTCCTGTGGTTGAGGGGGCGTGTTTACCACCTGGGGGAGGGTCTCTGGCTCTGGAATCCCGCCCTCCAAGCAGTCCACGTCGGGATCAGGTGGAGCAGGGGTATTAGCAGGGACCGCCGGTGGGGCGGGTGTGTCCGTCTCTCCAGCTCGACCTCCAACGCCATACCGGGCATCCTCAGAACCGCGTGTGGGAGAAGAGCGGCGGCCCACCTCGGCGTACGTGTGTTCCCCATCCTCACCAGAGGGGATCTGAGGCAGCTGGCGGCCCTGAGAACGCAGGTCGGAGTTTGAGCGACGGCTAGGAAGTAGGAGCAGATCCATGCTGGTGGGACGGTTCTTCTTAGAAGATTCTACAGAGAGCAGCATGATATTAACTGAAGAGCTTAAAATCTGAGAAGCAAAACCATTGTTTTTTCAAAGACACAATAAAAAGATTTGCTCGAAACTGCAGAGGCAAAGGGCAGCAGACACATGCCAATCACTATAGAGTAAAAGTAATTACATCTACTAATAGCCCCTATGGAAACTCCTTGAACATAGCTGGTACCATGCACAGACCTTCCCCCCGAACTGCAGGTATGTGTGAAGAACTAGAGACTATCAAACTTTAAGAGATGTGATTGTACAGTACATACTCTTGCCATTGCAGTTGAGTCTGTTCATCTCATGAAGCTTGGTGTCTGACTTACTGATGGAGGTCAGCTTGGACTGTCGCAGTATACTCTGAAAACAGATGCACAGATAAACTGCTTAAAATGTATTCAAATAAAAATAAAACAGTATAACCTGTACAACAACAAAAAAGTAAATTTTCCTATTCAGCCTACGTTGGGCATATTGTTGGGTAAAGCAAGTACATGGCAATAATAATAGATTCATGTTTGAAAATATTCCTGCTTACTGTTGTGTTATTTATAATTATTGTGTACTATGCTGGGTCACCATCACTCCTTGATATCCAAGGTAAAATCAGGGCAAAACAGTTGAGAAATGTTCTGGGTGACAATAAGGGTGTCATACAACATGGGATGCTAAAATAGTGAAATGGCCCAAATCCTTTTGTTTTAGATTCAAAGCTTAAGTGATCCATTCAAAGTTTAGGTCAGATCTATTTCCACTGAGCCGATTAAGAAGATTAATTAAATTCAGGAGGAGCCTTCAATTTGTTACTTGAAAACTAGTGTGAGGGAAGAATTTAAATCCTGAAACAAAACCATGAACTGCTTGAACTGACATGGAACTGAGCCCAGACCTGGGTTTCTTAGAAAATACAGAAGAAAAGAAGAATGGGTTTCATTCACTAGCAATGCGTACACATGTAATTGTGCATAAAAACCTATGTGTGAATGTTTTCATACAGAAATCTTAATTTATCAATAAGGTTACTCTCTGAAGATTACTTTAGGTTACCATCTCTCTCTGCTTATATAAATACAAAAGTTTGGGTTCAGTAAGATTTTCTTTTTTAAAGAAATTAATACTTTTAGTCAGCAAGGACATGTTAATGTGACAGTAAAGAAATGTATAATGTTACAGAACAGTTTTATTTAAAATAAATGTTGTACTTCCTATTCTATTCAAAGAATCCTGTAAAAAATAAAAATCCTATCACAAAAATATTACGTGGCACAACTGTTTTCAACAGTGATAATAAGAAATGTTTCTTGAGCACCAAATCAGCATGTTAGAATGATTTTTGAAGGATCATGTGACACTGAAGACTACAGTAATGGCTGCTGAAAATTTGGATTTAAATAAATCAAAACAAGCTGCCTGGTTGAGCATGAGACATTTTTTCAAAAACACTAACTGACCCCAAACTGAACAGAAAAAGGCTATATACTGTCTATATAAAATATATAATGGATAAGGATATGTTTGAGAAATGGCTATACAAGTTGTGTGCAATTATTAGTGAATGACACCCAATGTGAAAGGGGGGGGGAGAGGAGGGGGGCAGCAGGAAAAGAGACTTAGAAATGCTCACCATGTCCATGAGCCTGTGCTTCCTCTCCTCTCCAGGGCCATTGTGTGTCTTTCCCTTCCTGCAAGACACAATCGGCAAGATGTAAATCACACTGTTACAAATCCAAAATTTTAGAATGTTAGGTTCAAACTTCAAATGCTCTGTTTATCCACTGATTTATGGAGACTGAATGCGCTGACTCATTTGAGCCCCTGATTCAATTTACTTTAGTAGCTCCAACTATTTATCTTGTGCAGAAAGAAAATGCACATTTCAATTCAATTCGGCTACTCGAAAGATTAAAGGCAGTTGTTTTTTTTATAAACTTTGAGTTAAGTCATTTGATCAAAAGTAACTGCAAGTGCTTTCAAGATGCACAATCCTCGAAATGAGCCCAGATTGGCATTTGAAACAACAGAAGGTTTTCACTGGATGATTAACAGGCCTCTGAGTAACTGCGGTGCAATGGTGTTCAGGCCAAAACTCAGGCACAAAGAAAATCAATCAAACAATCAACATAATACAATCCAAACATCACTAAAATAGCTAAATGGATGCTGAGGATTATTTTCTTCATGAAAAGACAAGAAGTACACAGTCATGTCTGTCAGTGACGTGAGAATCTAAACTTTCCTCTCTCACACATACACAGGGCCCTGATCCAGACCCATTGTCCGGAATGTTCAGCCATATTTGACCAGACATCTGTTTATTCTTGAAAAAACCATGTCAGTCGTTCCCTTCTGATTGCTTGCATTGCTTTGATAAGATTACAGGAACAGTGTAGGTATCTGAAATCTGCCGACCAGCAGAGCAAAATGGATACAAAGTAGATTTTGTAAAGTATTAAAGCTATTACTGAGATTCCCATGAATCACTGATATTTATTTTTTAAGACACAACAGAATAAAAAAACATTAGTATAATATAACACAAGAACATCTAACCTTTTCAAAAACATTTGAAATAAATATGTTGTATACAAGTACAGCTAGTAAATATACTATGCTGAATATTTCAGATCTAATTAATGTGATAAATGATGTGGAGTCTTTCCTTCAGTGGTCTACAAAAGAATCACTGAATACTGAGAACTAGATCAGCCTGATTTGTCAGCTAATCATTCCAACTGGTTTTGTGAACTGTATCAACTTTATTAATTTTTTATTACTTTAAGAGCCACACTTTGATGTTCAAATGTACATACCAGTAGTTTAAGTTTACCTTTGACTGTAGTGTTCAGTATTCATTTGCAAGCTATAAATAATATTTTTTTCCAGCAAGCTTGACCTAAAGAGGTGATCTTTATCAGTAGTATCTCATAGAAAACTGAAAATACCTCCAACATTTTCTCATTTACATTCTCCCCGCAATGTCTTTCTCATCTGTATTTCCTTCAACCCTTGTTCTTGTCTTTCTCACTTCTTTTCCTCCATCTCTCATTCCTCTAATCCTTTTTCTTTGTCCTCCCACTACCAGATGCATCATGTGCTTTGACAAAATGAGACATTAGCATTCACACAGTGTGCTCTGTGCTATCATCGGTGGAACAAGAGAGACAGAGATGGAAAAGAAAATTTCATTTTCTGTGATGTTGACGATATGAAGATTTACAGTACAAGACACTGTTATAAGTATGAGAATGCAAGCTCTGTGTGAACATGCTGGTCAAAATCTCTGTGCCATTAGATGTTATTTTTTGTTCATTCATCTACCAGTGTTATAATTTACTAATATTGTGTGCACGATTTACTAATTTGTTCCCTTGTTTTAATTAAATCGTGTGCTCGATATAATCATTTGGGTAACACTTTATTTTGATAGTCCACTTTAGGCATTCTACTACCTATAAGTGACTTTGCAACTTGGAGTATTAGTAGACTGTCTGTTTAATATCTCATAACACTTTATTTTGATGGTTGCTCAACAGACGTTCTACTGACTATAAGTAACTTATTCTACTAACCCTAACCTAACAGTCTACAAATGCTCTAATGAGAGTTAATTGACATGTAGTTGCAAAGTTACTTACAGTTAGTAGAATGTCTAAAGTGGACTATCGAAATAAAGTGTAACCATAATTTGTTCCCTCGTTTTAAGTAAATTGTGCACATGAAATAACTTCCTGTCTGCATTCTGATAAACCTGTTGCTGCTGTTATGTTATGTTATGTTGTTATGTTATGGACAGAGACACTTTAATTGGGTTTTATTTTGAGATGGGAATGAAAGCCTTACAGTGCTGCATGGAATCATTTTAAGTTAGAGGCATCTACATCGGTTTATGAGAATGCGGACAGGAAGTGGAACAAATTATTATTTTGTGCGCACGATTTACTTAAAATGAGGGAATGAATTAGTAAATTGTGCGCACAATTTACTTTTTTTTCCTGCATATCATGTGCGTGGCTCCGTAGGTTCTAGCATGAAATGAAAATAAAATATTGTCAATTGTATACAGAAGTTCAAGGCTGATTTTTATTAGTGGAAAAACTGAGTTGTGCTTGCCTGTGCAAAGCTCATCGCCACAATGCTAGAGTGTTATGGGACTTTTCCAGGGCATTGCTGTGCATTTGCTATGGTGTTTTGAGTGTTTTTTAGCACATTGTTTTGCAGTTCCTAGAGTGTTCTGAGAGAATGCTTACTAAAAGAGACTGTTCGTTTGCATATTGAATGAAGATTAAAATATTGTTAAAATATATTTAATATTTTTCCCTGGGTATTATCCTCAATTTGAGTGCTGTATGTGTATGTACACTACTGTTTAAAAGTTTGAGGTTAGTAAGATTTGTTTTAGAGAAATTACATTCATTTTTCCAAATGAATGCTGTTTTTTAAACTTTCTATTCATCAAAGAATCCTAAAAAACACAGTTTCCACAAAAAAATACTAGGAACAAACTACAATGTTTTTTAAAACACTGATAATAAGAAGAAATGGTACTTAAAGGGGTCATATGATGCTATGGTGTTCTGAGTGGTTGTTAGCCTGTTGCTATGTGATTTCTTTGATGTTCTGGGTGGTTGCTAAGGCATTTTTAGATGATTGCTATTATGATTGGGGCTAATCCTTCAGGGTAAGTCTATGGAAGTCCTTCGCCAATTTGGCTTTTTTGGTTTGTTTGTTGTTTTGTGTGTACACCAAGAGAAATCGTAAGCCTCTCATCAGTGAGCTGCATGATTTGAGGTATTATGTCTGCAGGATGAGTTAGCACTTCAGGTTTGGGGTTTGAACAAGCAAGCTGTCCAGAATATGAATCTAAACAAATAAACAACCAAAGAAACTCCAACCAACCAAAGAGGGCAAGAAGTCAGAGCATTTTATATATGACCATATGTGTTTGTGTGTGCAACTCACCTCTGGCAGCCCACACATAGCACGACGATGAGGATGGTGACAACGAAGGCTGAGGCGGCGGCGATGGCCCCCAGCAGCAGTACTTTGCCGTAGGGATGAGCAGAGAAGTTCACCCCGTCCTGCATGGAGGCCATGTGGAAGTGCTAACACACACACTTTCACGCTCGCCCTCACACACGCACACACATATACACACACACTCTCAAACACTGTCTACAAGATCTGAAAGAGAAAAGGGAAGGTGCTAGAATCAGTTCCTTGGCTTTGTAAAACGAGCCTTTTTCACCCATCAGAGGGATAACAAAAATGAATCATACTCTTTCATTCCTCCCTGCAGCCATTCTCTAGTCTAGAGTGTGAATGAATGACAGAGAGTGAATCTCCCCCACAATTTCTTGTTCTCTCTCGGTCTCACTCTTGTACTTTTATTTTGTCTTTCTCCTTCTGTGTGTCTCCTGCAGGTCTCTCTCTCTTCTCTCCCACAGTGTGTCATTTTCTGCCCACTGACTGTCACTCAGCGTTTGTGTAGAATCATTTGTCTCAGACTGGGGGGCATTTTTCATTTTTCATGCAAAGATTCATGAGCATCAGGTACCTCACCTGTCTGTCGCCGCAAACAAAGCGACAGTAAATGCAGTTGCTGAAAGGCTGAGCTTTTACACTTCACTTTAAAGCCCCTTTCTAAACAGTTATAGTGCTTGAAAAAAAACACTATATTTTGCTCTACTGTATATGACAGTATAGTAAACAGTATAACAGTATGTTTTTAGTTTGTACTGTATATGCTCGCTCTGCCAACTGTTAAACAACATTGGTTTTAAAAACACTTGATTTAGTAGAATAATATTAGATTACTAAAGTAGTAGCAGGTTCCCCTCATAGTAAGCTCACACAGAAAGTGTCGCGGGGCCCGGGGGTCCAAGTGGTCAGCTACTGCTAAATGTGCCATGGGTCCCAGGGGCCAATGTGGTCAGCTTGTGCTGTATTTGCCAGGAGCCCAAGTGTTAATCTTCATTTGACAGTGTCAGGACACACAGCTTGAGGCTTTGGAGGCCCCTGGCAATCCATGAGGGACATGTAGAAACTATTGGCAACAATGTCTGACCTGCTACAGTGCATCTTAATGTGCCAAGTTTGAATTTGCACAGACATGAATACAATCACACACTGGTGTATTGCAATATACTATTATGCATTACAATGAAATTATGCATATGTTTTACATATTACATATACAAACTTATACAAACACACACACACATATATACACTATGTATATGTTATACTGAATAGCCCATATAATTATACACTAAAACTAAAACCATTAAACAACATTGAAATAAAAATAATGTTAACTAAATAAGATTAAATATTAACACGTAAACTTGCTTTATTTAGCTAGTTTGTCCATTTCATTTTCAGTTTTAACTTGATGTACTAAAATAACTAAAACAAAATCAATAAAAAAAACTTTATTGATATTTCTTTAAAAAGTAATAAAAATGAATAAAACTTTAAAATTAAAATGGAAAATATAAAATAAAGTATGATACAATGACAGTACCTCAATGGCATATAGATAAATAGATAGACATACAGTCAGCTAGATAGATAGATAGATAGATGTATATATAAATATGAAATGTATATCTCTATATAAATCAATCTGTCTATATATACACATACATGCTATGTACTATGCGTTATAAAATTTAAAAGCGGACATAACACACACAGTTTCTGCCAGTCTCATGTTAATCTTGAGTACCTATAGTGTAGTATTGCATGCTTCATATCTCCGAAGAGTCTTTAGTTTTATCAGATTTATAAAAGACAGATAAAGCTGTACCACTTCTCACTGAAAACAGTCGAGCTCCTGGAGGCATGCCATGGACAGAGCTAAAGAGTCACCAGTATATATATATATATTAAGTATATAAATATATTAAGTATAAATACATTAAGTATATGAGTATATATACACATACATACTATAATTATGTATGTATTTTCAGGCCAGTCTTATCTTTCTGTTCTCTATATCTATATATCTCTACTCTCCCTGTTTCTATAAGGGACATCAGATGACTGCGCAGGAGAACAGCTGCACTGAACCGAACCCATGTGAGACAAACGTATACTGCACACTTGATAGTCTGCACACTTGATTGCATTATTGCGTACACTTCTGCAATTGTCCAATGTTCTCCATTACATCAGAAATCTTCTGAATGGGCCAGCGGCTCAGAATGGAGAGTGAGTACTGAATCATTCAATCAGCTTTTGTTTGCATGCACAATCCAGTCTTTATTTTTCAATGTGAAGACTTGTACTGCTGGTGGTGGTACAAGGAATTCTATGGCTATTTCTGACTTACAACTTACAGGCATCATGCATGAGCTAAAGTGTGTGGATTTCATCAGATAAGGAATTAGCCCAGTTTTAATTATTTTGGCTCTTGGTTTAGTACTATCAAATGGACCCATGATAACAGCTAAAAATACCTCACAAGCACAAGCAAACAACAGCATGTCGAAATACTAGGACAATGCTGGGGGGAAAATGTCTCTTTATTTGCTATAAACTAATATATAAACCAACAACTAACCATGGTGGCAGTAAGTGACAGCATTAGGACTGGCACTGCAAGAGAATATGTTCCATTTACACAGTAATATTAGTAAAATGCTAAGATACTAAACTCTAAAAACAACACAAACCCAAAGCAGAAAGCATGTTCTCAAAGTCAGTGTAGTAAGTTTCATTTGAACATGAAGGGATGTCTACATAATTAAAAAAAAAAAAAAAAAAAACCTATGCCTATGACTCAAATTATGAAACAAATTGTGAACCTGTGTTTTCCTTTTTAATTTTAGTCTTAGTAATTTTTTAAGCTCTTTTGTCTTTTTTATACCTTTATATTTATATTTACATTATATTTTTTATTTCTATTTTGCTTTTAATTGTAGTTTTATCAACTTCAACTTAAATACATAATTTTATTTCAGTTAGTTGCAAAGGCAACATTTTAAATTTTCGTGTAAGCTTTTTTATTTAGGTTTACATTTTTTACCTAATATTTATATTTTATTTTAGAAAAGTATTTTTAACCATTTTGTTTCAATTATCTGTGTTACTTAACAGAAACACACACATACACGTGTATGAAAAAAGTGTTTGTGTGTGTGTGTAGGCCTATATATCAAAACTATATAAATTATAAAAGGAAAAAGGAATATATACACTGTGGATAGCACAACCGCCAAAAATATGCACCTATGCTTAGAGTAACTTGATGTAGTGTTGTTGGTACTAGCACCATATCTCCCAACATCACTGTGTATTTTGTGTTAATGAAGCTCTCGCTGTCTCTCACCTTCACTTTCTCAATCTTTCCATCCCAACTCTTGCGGTGCATTATTGTTTTAATGATCTGTTTACAGGATCTCCTCAGTGGGTGAGCAGGGACACACAGTATTAGGTGTTAGCAGCTTGGTTTCTGAACAGCTCGAGTCCTTTATGTGGTTCCTTTTTAATTCTCACGCATATTTTAACCAACTAAAGGTGTGATCACATTTACCGTTCGATGACTTAATTCAGTCTTTTCAACAGACCGTGGTCAGGGTAGTGCCATATTTAATTTTTGACAGGAATAAAAACAAGGCTGTGAGGGATAGAAGTACAGCGTGTTCAGTGTAGGGCTGAACGATTAATTGCATTTGCGATAATATCGCGATATGAAAATAAATTTCAATCGCAGAGACTGCGATTACACTCGGTCACGTGACACGCGAGAGTAAAGAGGTGTGTTTGACTTGAAGATCGATCGGTGTATGACATCAAAGTACGGCGAGAGAAAGCATAAGGAGGTGTGCTCTTATAGCTCTTGCAGTACTTTGATGACACACACCCATTGGTCTAAGCAGCGCTGCTTCAAGTCGAACACGGGCCATCAGCAGAAAAAGAAAATAAATAAAACAGTAAACAGCCAAAGGACGT